CAACGTATGTAGGTGAAACATCTAGGCAACTGAATGTGAGGGTGAAGGAACACAAACTGTGCTTAAAGCATATTCCTAAATTCTCAATTGATGTAAAAAAAGCTTGAGAACAGATCAGCGATAGCATTACACTCGATTGAATCGGGTCATACAGTTGATTTCAATGGCACGAGAATCATTCAAAAAGGATTCAATTCTTACAAAGAACGACTAACAGCCGAAGCCCTACATATATGGGCTAATTCAAACAATATTAATAGGAGAGATGGAATACAACTAGCTGTCCCATGGCAACTAATAATTAATAAGTAAACCTGATCTCCTTTTTGCAATTTGATATATCTATGCCATAGTAACTAATTGATAGATAATACGTTCAATGATTCAAATCCGTTATCTTATCTGAATATGTTAAACAATTGACTGGAACACTGAAATAACACACACCTTCAATTACATATACATTCCTCTTTTATTTTGTTCACTTATCTTATTTATCTTCATTTAATGCAGGCTGTGGCATTTTTGATTCATTTCATATATAACAATGATCTGTTTTTCTTAATATACACAGACCGAAGTCAATACTTAGTTGAATGAAATTTCTTCTCACATCACTTGCATATAAACACATTCTGTTGTCTTAACACGTTTTTGGTTCCATAATCACATACCTTGTCCTTATGTGTACAAAAACAATTTGTCATAACCTTGAATTTACCTTGTAATCCTTAAGTCATTCTATGGCCTAGGATAACACGACAATTTCTTATTCTTTCTCTCCCCTTGGTTATTTTCAAATGAACTTTTATTTGGTTGACCTTTATTATTTTTCATATTATTTTCATATAAACATGTCTCTTACACATTAATGTAAGTACCTATTTATAAAAAATCCTTTACGTTGATTGGATGACTTATTCAGTATACAGTAAACCGAAGAACCATGTACCTATTTATATTCGATAATTTTGTTGTTTGATTATATTTTCCTTGAAAAAGCTTGGACCAGATTGCCAGGTGAAACGTTGGATTTACTTAAAATTCATTCGCTGAGATTTTACAAATATATTCTTCTTTTTAATATCTCAAATTAACTCGGCGCCCTAACATTGTGAAACTATTTGTTCAAATTTAGACGAAAGTTCTTATTTAGCATTTGAGATTTGTTATTAACTCCTGCCTACGACCTACCAAAAAATCAACTTTAGGAGTGATTCGGGAATTCTTAGATGTTCCAGCCTCGAGGGGAATCTAATATTCGGCACCTTATCAAAACCATTTCAGAATTCCACCTAGAAAACACTCACTGATTTTTCATTATCTAGAGACTCTGCCCACTTCCTTACTGAAACAAGGTTTGTTGTATGAGTAATCCTTTCCACAACAATGTTGTTCAATGTTTATTAGGTTGTTGATTTCCACGATTGTAGTTATTGCTTTTTTGATCATTCTTTACAGTATTTTAACTACGACACTGATAAGGCTGATAGGCCTGTAGTTTAATGAAAGTTGTTTTGATCCTGTCTTGTGAACTGGCGTGAAAATTGAATCTCTCAAGTCCATAAGTAACTCAACTTGACCAAGTAGCTTATTGAATATTGTACTCAGCGAGACATCATTGTTTTGTGTAATGTTTCTCAAGATTTTAGGGTTTAGTTGGTTTTTACGTGTCGTAAGTGCTAAATTCCATCAGTACATCGTTTTGATCGTGATCCACGGTGGGCAGTCGATTTTCCAGCTTTGTATTCAGCTTTGGTCCTACGTCTAGGAGAGACTCTTGAGTGCTGTCTCGAAACAGTCCTCTCTAGTTTCTTCTTTGTGCCAGTCGTCCTCTGTTATACGGAATGCCTTTCCTTTCGAAATAAGTTTTGGAATCTGTGGTGTTTGAGCGGACTAATGATACCCTTGTACTTGTTGAATGCTCGATTTCAAATTCCAAATACAATAAATTCGTTTGTGCTTGTGTCTTAATTCTTGATTCAATTGCGTTATTTCTGGGACTCTTACATTGTACGATAATTCAAATACTTTCAAATATTATACTGGCATCGCGATGGAGCCTGCGATGGAAAAGTTAGATATTCATTCAACTTCGGGAGCTTTTGAGGATTATTTGGAAAGGTTTGAAATCTGTAACATGACTAAGAAAGATGTAAAAGGTGATTAAATTGTGGCACATTTCCTGACATTCATTGGGAGAGAAGCGTACAGCTTATCAAAAACTTTGGCATATCCAGAAAAACCTATCTCACTTCCTTATGCAACTCTTAAGGAGCTATTATTAAATCATGTAAAGTGCACCAGTTTTGTATGCCATGAAAGGGCGAAATTTCATAAGATGGTTCGTCAAAATGACCAAAATGTTCGGGCATTCATCCTTGAATTGCAGAAGCAAGCTGCCAAGTTTAATTTCGGTGATCAACTTCATGAACATCATCCAATGCTATGTGCCTACCAACGACTACAATGAAGACGCTAAAGATCAATTCTACAATAGACTGCAGTCAATCATCGAGAAGTGCCCAACAAAGGACCTGACCATTCTGATGGGAGATTTCAACGCCAAGGTTGGAGTGGACAACAGTGGATATGAAGACGTCATGGGACGACACGGACTGGGAGAAAGGAACGAAAATAGTGAGAGATTTGCAAACCTATGTGCCTTCAATAAACTGGTCATAGGCGGCACCGTATTCCCACATAAACGCATACACAAAACCACATGGACTTCACTGGATCACACCACGCAGAGCCAAATCGACCATATTTACATCAACAAAACGTTCAGGAGGACTATAGAGAACGTGAGAACCAAAAGAGTAGCTGATATAGCATCGTCACTTGCTGGTCTCCAAGATTAAATTGAAACTCAAGAAACACTGGACAACAGGGCGGACAACAACTGGAAGGGGATCAAAGAGGCAATCACTTCAACATGTCATGAGGTCCTGGGTCACAAGAAGCACCATCACAAGGAATGGATCACTGTTGATACACTGGATAAGATTCAAGAAAGAAGAAACAAGAAGGCAGCAAATCAATACCAGCCGAACAAGAGCAGAAAAAGCCAAGGCACAAGCTGAATACATAGAAGTAAACAAACATTGAAGAGGAGCATCAGAACCGACAAACGTAAATATGTGGAAGATTTGGCAATGACGGCGGAAAAGGCTGCAAGTGAAGGAAACATGAGACAACTGTATGACACGACAAAGAAACTCTCTGGAAATCGTTGCAAATCAGAACGACCAGTGAAAAGCAAGGAAGGCGAGGTAATCATCAACATTGAAGAGCAACAAAACAGCTGGGTAGAACACTTTAAAGAACTCTTGAATTGACCAGCCCCATTGAACCCACTTAATAGCGAAGCAGCACCCACAGACCTCCCAATCAATGTTAGCCCACCAACAATTGAAGAAATCAGCATGGCCACCAGACAAATCAAGAGGGGCAAAGCAGCAGGACCGGACAACATTCCAGCAGAGGCACTGAAAGCAGATGTGGCAGCAACTGCAAGGATACTCCACATTCTCTTCAATAAGATTTAAGATGAGGAACAAGTACCAGCAGACTGGAAAGAAGGACTTCTGATCAAAATACTGAAGAAAGGCGATCTCAGCAAGTGTGATAACTACAGGGGCATCACTCTTCTCTCAATGCCGGAAAAAGTCTTCAGCAGGGTATTGTTAAACAGGATGAAGGACTGCGTAGACGCCCAACTTCGTGACCAACAGGCAGGATTCCGTAAGGATAGATCGTGTACAGACCAAATCGCAACTCTACGGATGATTGTGGAACAATCAATTGAATGGAATTCATCACTGTACATCAACTTCATTGACTACGAAAAGGCATTTGATAGCGTGGACAGAATAACACTATGGAAACTTCTTTGACACTACGTCGTGCCTCAGAAGATAGTCACCATCATACAGAACTCATATGATGGATTACACTGCAAAATCGTGCATGGAGGACAGTTGACAAAGTCGTTTGAAGTGAAGACCGGTGTTAGGCAAGTGTGCTTACTCTCACCCTTTCTCTTTTTTCTGGTGATCGACTGGATCATGAAGACATCAACATCTGAAGGGAAGCACGGGATACAATGGACATCTAGGATGCAGTTGGACGATCTAAACTTCGCAGATGATCTGGCCCTTCTATCCCAAACGCAACAACAAATGCAGGAGAAGACGAACAGTGTGGCAGCAGCCTCAGCAACAGTAGGTCTCAATATACACAAAGGGAAAAGCAAGATTCTCCCATACAACACAGGATGCGCCAATCCAATCACAATTGACGGAGAAGATTTGGAAGATGTAAAAACCTTTACATATTTGGGCAGCATCATTGATGAACAGGGTGGATCTGATGCAGATGTGAAGGCGCGGATCGGCAAAGCAAGAGTAGCATATTTACAACTGAAGAACATCTGGAACTCAAAGCAACTGTCAACCAACACCAAGGTCAGAATTTTCAATACAAATGTCAAGACGGTTCTACTGTATGGAGCAGAAACCTGGAGAACTACGAACGCCATCATCCAGAAAATACATGTGTTTATTAACAGTTGTCTACGCAAAATACTTCAGATCCGTTGGACGGACACTATTAGCAACAACGTACTGCGGGAGAGAACAAACAAGATCCCAGCGGAGGAAGAAATCAGGAAGAAGCGCTGGAAGTGGATAGGACACACATTGCGGAAAGCACCGAACTGCGTCACAAGACAAGCCCTCACATGGAATCCTGAAGGCCAAAGGAGGAGAGGAAGACCAAAAAACACATTACGTAAGTATATGGAAACAGACATGAGAAAAATGAACAAGAATTGGATGGAACTAGAAAAAAAGGCCCAGGACAGAGTGGGTTGGAGAATGCTGGTCGGCGGCCTATGCTCCATTAGGAGTAAAAGGCGTAGGTAACTTCATGTGCAACTGAGAGGTCGATTAATTGCAGGAATTAACATACTGGGTTTGGAAAGAGAACTGTTAAGAATGCCAAACTGTTCCTTTCAAGATGCTAGAACTGCGTGTATTAACTACGAGGCAGTGAATGAACTTGATATCCAGTCGCTGAAGATTTCTAATACTTTGCTTAGTCGTCATGATGAAATACAACCTCAGGGTCAATCAAACTTGCGTTCGTTTAACAGTGATTCCTATTCTCTTGTAAATATGAAAGGTGTTTCAACAAGGAATTACAAAGCTACTGTCCATTTTGCTTCAAATAGTACTAAATCTTGTAATTTAAATCTCAATAATTTGGGTGTTTCTAGTGATCATTTATCTTTGTCTACTATTTCGAAAGGTAATGCTCATATTCAAAAGCGACTATATACATCGCTTGGTTCATTTCATGACTTTATTGTGGACACAGGCAGTATAGAGTCCATTATTTCATTCAACAACTTGAAATCTCTAGATCCTAACGTTGTGGTTCGACCCACTGAAGTATCAATATTGGGGATTACTGGACACAAACTGCCCATACGAGGGTTTTGTGAGCTGCTAATAAAAGATGATAATTCTTCATGCATACCTTGTGAATTTTTTGTTTGCGAAACAGGACTGTCAATACTGGGTTTAAAGAATTTGAAAAGGCTTAAGGTTGAGTTGTTCTTCTTAGTTTCTAAAGAAAATTTTGATACTTTACTTAAAGATTTGATAGCTATGTGTGATAAGTGCAGTGGAGGTATGAAAATTCAGCCTATAAAACTTTAAGTACAGGGTGATCTAATCTTTCTTAAAAGACGAATAATTCCTTATGGTCTTCGAGAAGCAGTACATAAGACATTAAACGATTTGTGTTCGAAAGGCATAATTGAACTAATTCAGTTTCCAGCATGGAGTGCTTTTATTGTTACGCCACTGAAGTCGGACGGCAAGACCCCTAGAATTTGTGGTGATCTCATTGTTCATGGTTCTAATAAGCTAGTTTATGACGAGAGACTTACTGCTTTATTGTGTCGTTTAATTGAGAAGAATATTACAGTGAGTCCAAATAAGTGTTCATTTTGTGTATCTAGTTTTGAATGCCTTGGATACCTAGTTGATGGTAATTGTTTTAGACTAGATATGAAACGACTATCTCCACTGACAAATGCACCGTCTCCAAAAAATCTTACGGAATTACGTTCACTAGTGGGTGCTCTTCGATACTATTCCCGTTTTATTCCTAATTTTTCTTGTCTTGCAAATTGTTTATTTAATATTTTGACATCTAACTCATTCAAATGGAGTGAGGAACAAGAGTCATACCGGACAAACTCAACTTGTTGACTACATTTCTCGACAGTCATTACAAGATAGACATATTAATACTTCGAACTGTTTGTTAGTGCAACCTTTACCAGTGAGATGCTCAGATCTCATCAGAGAGACTCGCAGATATTTTGGATGTGTACTCAGTGCTATACGGAAAGGCTGAAATGCTAATTTGAAACGTAGATTTCCTGTCTATTTTTCAAAGCGGGATGAGTTATCTACTACTCTTGATGGTATTCTGTGTTTAAATTATCGTGTTGTCATTAATCCTTCATGGCGTAAATCTATTCTTGAAGATCTTCATAGTGGTCATTTGGGTGTTGAGAAAATGTAGTCCTTGGCAAGACTCACATGCTGGTGGCCAGAGATAAATGCAGATATATGTCATACGGCAAACAATTGTGAGAAATGTTATCAATTGAAAAATCATCGTTCGAAGTAGACGCCATGAACAGTATCGTCTGAGGCCTGGCAGAGAATTCATGCTGACTATTGTGGTCCGTTTCTTGGCAAATACTACACACTAGTAGTTATTGATTCTTTTTCAAAGTGGCCTGAAGTTCTTTTCACAACTTCACCAAATTCTGATTTCACAATCCAAGTAGGATCCAAATTACGGTTTGGACTGAAGGATAGCCGTCCAGATAGGTTAGACACACGCCCTTGTCCGTCAAAATCAAAACAAGTAATCGGGTAAATAGCGGTTCTATAATTCATCATAAATTTAAATGTAAATCGTCACCTAAACAAATATTACCACCCGGCTATCCAACCAATAATTATTCAATCAACCAAATCTTAATTACTATAAATAAAGAAGTTGAGAGAAGATGCGGGAAAATTACCAGTCACAACAGATGAACGCTATTCTATCCTGACTGGATAGAACACGTACAAAAAGAGGAGCAAATCAATATTGCTGCTGCCAAGAACAAGTATCAAGTAAAACAACATAGATGCGGATCGGGAAAAAACGCAAAACTTAGTGAAGACGTAAGAAAAACGAAAACTCTGATAAGAAATACAAATATTAACAATTCACATGTAGTCAAAAAACTAACAGTGTACAACTAAGGGGATCAATAGGAATAAAGTGCAAGTTTATACATGGAGGGATTTTCACACGCACACCAAACATTCAAAACGGATCGTACAATCCAAGCATTAAGAAAGGTGTTTAGTCAAGAAGGGGTTCCTATGATGCTAGTGACTGATAATAGTTCTCACTTTGCTGCGGATGCAGTCACTACCTGGTTGAACGGTATAGGGTACAAACATCTGTTTACTGCTCCCAGATATCCGTGTTCTAATGGCTAGGCAGGACATTAAAGACTGCTATTGATTCTATAGCCGCCTCAACATTTAATGAGCTGGAAAGGGGAGTAGATACCTTTCTATTACAATATAGAAATGCAAGAGATTCGGTGACGAAGGAAACTTCAGAGAAGCTATTGAAAGGAAGAATTCTTCGGTCGAATATGAGATATTTGGAGTCTGCAGAAGTTACATACTACCGAGGAAATGATCTTCGACCGTCTACGGGTATTGTTCTGAAGAATGTTGGAAAATCGATTGTGCGAATTCTAGACATCAATGACTTAAGTACACACAGTCGACATGTTGATCAAATACAATTTCAGGAACCAGGTGAGTCAGTTCCAATTTCGGTTGTTAATTCTGATGCTAATGAGCACATTCTAGATAATACAGAATCCTTATCCAATACAATGTCGGACAGACTCAGGATGAATTTGCGAAGAAAATGTACGATTGATTACAAACACCTAGACTCCAATTTAAGCTGTGGCGGATGTGATGTCTGAACGAACTAATGATACCCTTGTACTTGTTGAATGCTCGATTTCAAATTCCAAATACAATAAATTCGTTTGTGCTTGTGTCTTAATTCTTGATTCAATTGCGTTATTTCTGGGACTCTTACATTGTACGATAATTCAAATACTTTCAAATATTATACAATCCAATCCACAACAGTTACTCCAAACATTTCTTTTCAGATTGCACCAAATCCTTTTCATATTTTCTCTAATCTGTGCTCACATACTTACTTCAGACCCACCTATATCGCTTCATCGTATTCGCTGTGCCACTGATGATTGCGATGTTCCGACACATCTGCCTTAGTAAACGTCAAATCTCCTGATTCAACAGTAGATGAGCGTGCTTATTCTTCTTTGGGATTGTCCAGAGCATAAATGGTTGAATTATTTTATTGTATAAATGCCTAAAATGTGTCCTTTCCTCTCCTACTGACCAACCGGAGTCAATTTCTCGGTTTTTAAGCGAGGCTGTAAAGTTGATCACCTTCATGTCTACCTTTCATATGTTAGGACATAGATTATTCGGTTGGCAATTTTAAACTATGCGGGAAATAGTAATCTTTTAGCTAGGGAACAGAGAGATTTTGTGATAGGCCTGTCGTACTTGGAAAATCTACTCATTGCAAGGTAAGATCGAGCTAGAGTGATAGATAGAAATATTCAGACAGATGTTTTTTCATAGATTTAGGTGAAGCCCCGACAAGGTTTCCCACTTGGAACTTGAATGAAAACTGGAAGTTTTTGAGGTCGGTTACGAAATCTTGAACTTGGTAGGTGACTTTCTCAGTGATATAAGTCAATGGGAACAGATGAATAGGACTCTAACAACGTAGGGGGTCTCGAAAAAGTGATGTTTTCCAAAATAAAATTCTCAGCTTTCTTTCTTCCTCTATTTTGATGACATCGGCGATTGCAAAATCGTCTGTTTTATCCTTTGAAGATGATACAAAGAATTAAAAACCAATGTGCAGAATGTCAGATAGAATACTATTACGCGATGACCGAATTTCACTGGTTGAATAGATAGACAGGTGGTCATTAGAAGCTAACTATAGCAGATATGGTGTTGCAAATAAATAACTGAAATGGTTCGTATCCCTACACAGTATGTGGAGTTGTGTCAATTAAGGTATTGAACTACAAAGATGCAGATGCCTTAGTAGGAAATGACTTTGGAGTTGCGAGTAACTGCAAGATTGATGCTGTTAAGGGCTTCAGAGTCTTACGAGCTATTCTCAGGTCATCTCATTACTTGCACGAGGAAAAAATTAGGGTAACCGAATCTTGTGAGGCTGCATTTTGGATGTAGGATTCAAGCAGAATCCTTGTTTTAATTATGAAGCGGGTATGTTGAAACGAATTTGATGCAATGAACCTAAAATGGTAAGCTACCTCTCCGGATTATCTTATGAAAACAGATTTAAACTACCCAACCTATTTGGGCCATATTATTGAAAGTTAAAGGGTGATCAAACGCTAGCTTGTCATCTACTAAACGGTGATCTTGGCATTAATATGTGATTAAATTAAGTGTGGTGACATATAAGTAGCAGCTTTTTTAATGGAATATTCTAAACGAACCTTAGTTACCAGCTAATAGATGTGAAACAAGGTGATGGTCTTTCGTGCCTCTAGGTAACCCTCGTGTTATTGATAGAAGAAACCAGACAAGTAGTAAATAAGTCTTTATTTAAATCTTCGTGCATTCACAGTGGAGCGTGGGATTATTCTTTCAGGTAAAAAAAGCCTCTCAATATTCAATATAATATAATAGGAAACATGACGCCTATACAAAATAAGAAAGTGAATGAATAATTGGACTATACTGTTTTGACATATGTTTAGCTGCTTGAGGTGAACTCTGAACTAACCAACTTTAGCGGTTACAGGCCTTCCTTGTCATCCAATTAAGCCCAGTAGTTTAACCGATGACCGCACAATAAAAATCCTTGTCGAAAACCAAAATGAAATTATTATGTGAATTCGTTCTAGGATTAAGATTCCGCTAATGTAACATCAGGCTGTATTCCTGTAGACTGTCCGGGCCATGTTAATATTTTTTCTTTACACCTAGATTCGTTTTCAACTTTAGTCTGACATCATACGTACCAATTGATGTTGTAATAAGTCACTCATCCGACATAAAATGTTTCGCACGAATTTTATCTAGCTTATTTCTTAATAATGATAATCGCTGTTGTCATATGTAAATCGTCGCCACTGCATCACTTTCCAGATTTTTGACCAGAAAAGTTATTCAACTTAGTATTTTTAACAACTGTACAGTTCTTAGCGTGATGTATATTGCTTTAGAATCATCCAATTTATTTACACTATATATTTGCATTTTCTTCGCATAAATTTGTTCAGATTAAGGTGAAAACGACGGGTTCCTATCAAATAATCGCTCGATCTTCTACACAAAATAGGAATATTTGATGATAAATGCCCTCAGTTCAATAAAATATATAGTCAGCTGGACTCCAGGTTCATTTAGACACTCAAAGTAAGAAATAAAATATACAACATGAAAAGTCGGAGTTCAGAATCTTCCATTATAAAAATGAATGAATATTACTATCTGAAGTTGTCTTGATGCACGCTTTAATCGCGATA